CGTATTGTCTGTTCAAACTTCGGCCAAAAGCGAAATGATTCCCGTTGCACACTTGTACTTCCTAAAGAAAGCGAAATTCAAAAGGTCACAATTCTTGCCGCATTCTGTCGGGGTTCTGTCGGGGTTCTGTGCAGTTCTGTGCGACGTTGTGTGAACACACAGAAAAATAATACATATCAGGTCAGGATTTCGTTTGGGTTCTGACTGCTTTGGGCCCCGTGTGATAAGGTCCTTAGAACCTTATCACATGACAAAAGAAAGCTGAGATGCAGTGTGAGAGAGGTGGGTTTTTTTCCTTGCCTCTCCACATTCCATCAAAGTATTTCCATTCTCTTCCCAAGGGTCATGGTTGTAAAAGCACATCTTTTGTCATACTGAAAAAATCAGTTTGGCATAAAACATGCTTTTATGATCATCTCTTTCTGAAAGGAGAGCAGAAGTACTACAACAGCATGTGGAGAGGCAAGGAGACAGATGCTGTTCTCTTGCTGAATTTTAGTTTTCTTTTATTGCTTTGAATCCCATTTTGGCGAAAAGGTGGGATATACCGGTAAATCCCACAAATAAATAAATGAGTAGTCATGCGATAAGGGTCTTGGTGATTTTACTGAGAAACAAGATGACAGCAGAGAAGCAAGAACTAGCAGACATTTCATTCTTTCCATGTCTCCCATCTGCAAAGTACTTGCTTAGTACCTGGTGGCGCAGTGGTTACATGCCTGTACTGCAGCCACTCACTCATAAACCACAAGGTTGCTAGTTCAATACTAGCCAGGGCTCAGGCTTGACTCAAGCCTGCATCCTTCTGAGGTCACTAAAATGAGTACCCAGCTGTTGGGGGGCAATGAGCTTACAATTGTAAACCACTTAGACCAGGGGTAGGCAACCTTTCCCCTTTAAGGGCCGAGGGACTTCAGCTCCCAGAAGCCTCAGCCATGTTGGCCAATAGTCCCATGTTGGCCAATAGCTCCTGAGATTCTGGGAGCTGAAGTCCCTTGGCCCTTAAAGGAGAAAGGTTGTCTACCCCTGACTTAGACACTGCATAGCATGGTATGAAGCAGTATATAAATGAAGCTGCTTTACTTTGCTAATTGCTGCCTAGGAGTAGCCATTTGGCATTGGGATAAAAAGAAGATGCAGATCAGTGTAATAATAATAATAATAATAATAATAATAATAATAATAATAATAATAAATTTTATTTATAGCCCGCCCCTCTGCGGAGCAATCGGGGCGGGTTACATCAGTTAAAATACAGGAAATACAGAGGATAAAACAATTCACATACCCATCCAGCCCTCCCACCCCTTAAAACAATATTAAACTGATTATTAATTAAAACAACATGCTCCGAAAACATAACACAATAGATAATGATCCAACAATACAACGAACAGCACAACAAATTACAGAATGAGCAGCAGCAGGAGGGCAATATAATTATTTCCTAAAGCCGGAAAGTTATTCCGGGAAGGCCTGCCGGAAGAGATCCA